AAAACCAAACAACAAAGCCCAGGGCTTCGCAGGGAAAGCACTTGCAGGCTCAGAGTTTCTCTAAGCACGTTGCCGTGCCTGCCAGCCCAGCTAGCGTGTGGTCCGTGATGAAGCCGGTTTTGCCCGGGGAGGTGGTGGCCCCACAGGGAGGCTCCTTGGTGCTCCGTCCCTGCAGCAGCGCGGTCTGCATCCGCCTCCCGCGACGAGGAGCCCTGCACGCCGGGACGGTTGCGTCATCGCCATCACTCCTTCTCCATCCTCTTAATTTTTTTTCCCCCTGGGAATATCAAGCCGAGCTTGGTTTGAAGCCTGAGAGCGCTTCGGCAACACCTCATACGTCTCAGCCCTGTTGGCTCCAGGTTATTTATCACTTTTTTCCCTAGGATGCAAAACATCCCAAGCTCATCTCAAAGGTGTTATATTTAGCAGCGTCTGCTCGGTTGCAGCTGACCCCGATCTGGAGGCCACGAGGAGCTTTCTTGCAAAGGAACACGGCCTGGCGCGGGCTGAGCACAACCCCTACGGCCGTTCAGAGCCGCGATGGCGGAGCGAAGAGGCGATAGCCAGCCTGCTTATCGTGAGGAGGACCGTGATGTGCTCTGGCCCCCGTCCCATCGGATACCCGGGTAGAAGGAGCCGGACCAGGCAGTGCCTTTGCAGAGTGACCGGTGTGTCCCGGGGGAGCGGATGGTTCTTGCACCGCCTAAATGAGCCTGCGGCTGGCAGGAAAACACTTCTGAACCAGAAGTGGGACACACTTACAAGTTGTGGGGGACCTGTGTGCCAGCGTGGCTTGCACTTCAGAGTGGTGGTTTCCTCTCTTTGTTTGTCCGGCTCGCATCGCCGCGGCACTCAGAAAGGCAGGCGTGCCTCTGGCCACCTCCTGGAAGCTTATCTTACCCTAGAAGAATATGTTAGATTTCCTTTTTAAATTAAAGCTTGATATTTTTGTAATTAAAAAAAAAAAAAAAAAAGAGGCTTGAGCGTAACGTTATAAACTCACACTTGGTTTTCTTCTGATGAAGTTAAAGCACACGCGGACCATTTATTTTAGCAAGAGACTGAATAACTGACTTGTCCCAGCTCGGCCGTCGGCAACCCTGGGGTTCACCTTGGACCATCCAAAAAGCACACAGGATTGTCAAAAGCAGGGAAGGACCTCCACTAAACTGACGCTTTGAAAATCATTAGCTACATCCTCTATTTCAAGAAACTGAGGACGTGAACACAAGCAGCAGCATTAATAAATACGCACCTTTGTTAATCCCCTTTCTGAGGGTTACAAATTAAGAAAGAGAGAGGGGGGTGTGCACGCCAGGCAGGTGCCATCCCGGGGTCCGCAGCATTTTGAAGCCTGAGTGCTGATGGCAACTGGTAAGAGGGTTTACAAGAAACCGTGTTGCTCACCGGTGTCTGTTAGAGGCAGAAAGGCTTAAGCGGAGCCTAAAGTTAGGCCAGTGCTAAGAGCTCTTAACCTATGTCCAGTACCAAGAGTAGCTGGGGTGGTTTCAAAGAGCTGGTGACTTTTTCTGCTGGCATCATCCTTTGCAGAGGAATTATCCCTACCGCATCTCGTGAAGTTGTGTGAATTGACTCATAGTTCAGTAAAAATGCTTGTGGTTTAGTAAAACATGGTCTGTTGGACTCCAGCGTTGCGTTATCTCAGGGAAAGAAGTGGAACTAATTTTTATAAGTTGTACTGGATGATTTCTAATTGTTCGTGGCCATCCTGTGGAGTTCATTATTTCTCCTCCAGCCGACGCTGGCTTCTAATTAGGGGACGTAAAACTAAGATGGAAGAGCAGCAGTTTGCAAGGGTATTGCTGCTCAGGAAGGAATCTGGGCTGGATGTAAGCCAAAAATATCCTCTTGTTTGCAAGATTTTGGTGGGGAGAGGATGGCTGCAGGGTACCAGCTGCTGCGTACACCCTGTAAGAGGGAGGACTAACAGAGCAGCCCTTCGCCTCCTAAAAGGGGGCAATTAGCTCCTCTCCTCCTTGCCCATTCCCCTGCATCTGTCGTTCATTCAAAGGGCACAAATATTTCCTAAACCAGAATTTTTCCTACAACGAATTTGGGGTGGCTTCTATGCCCCCGGCCGTGCGACCGCGGCTGGGAGCAGCAGGCACAGAAGGGGCTCTGGGCGGTGCCGCTGCGGTGCTCAGCCCCGGTGATGCATTTCAACTGATTTATCAGTTTTTCTCCGTATTTCCCCCCATACTTATTTTTTTTTAATGCTGAATATTTTTTTCTCCTGGGAGGGTGATGTGACATCCACAGAGCCCCATTATGGTGCTGCTTTTGGGGTACAACTGCAAAGCCAAGAGCTGAAATAGCTTGGCCAAGACTCCCTTAAATCCATCTATTTCCCCATCAAGATCCATCACAACTTTAGGAAACGTAACACCGCTCTGAAAACAATCCTGGCTCCTCATTGACATCCTTTTCTGCCAGGAGACTTCTGGAAGATGTTTCTATAGTTATTCAATGGGAAGGGAACAAATTCTTCACCGTAAGCCATCCCCTTGCTTCCCTGCGCAGCGTGGTGTTAGCGTTACGTGCTGGTAGAAGAAAACGCGTTCAGAGATAGGAACAATTTAGACGTTGCAGAAATCCGCAGGTTTTTGGCCTCATCCCTCAGCTGCGCGTGGCACCGGCTGCTTTTTACAGGTGCTTAATAAACGCAAATGAGCTCTGGTGTTTTTCTCTCCCCTCCTTTTGTAACGCCGCTACTTGCTCATTTTCATTCTGCTTCTGGTCAGCAGAGATGGCTTTGATGGCGGGTTTTCCCCCAGACTTCAGCTGGAAATTAAACCCAGCTTAACTTTTACAGCACAGTACACCTGGCTGGGGGTTTTCCACCGAGGCTCGTTTATATTAGGAAATAAAACACGTGGAGGAGCCGTGAGTGGTTTTGGGTGAACTCCTACCAATGCAAAAAAGGGGGTTAGGGAGCTTTAGTGCTTTGGTGCTTCAGGAGGAAAAGCAACGTGAACGATGGCTTTCCCCCAGGTTTTGTACAGAGTTAAGAAACTTGATTTTGAAAGAAAAATTGAAAGGTTTTTGCTTCAGTTTCGTATGGGCTGAAAGGTCATTTCAACCCCTCTGCCCTCAGATTCCCCTGGAGCAGAAAATCTGCTTTTCATTTCATCTACCCTGCAGCGAAGCTTACAGCCGCTAATTTTGAGAAATGAGTGTCTTTCTGCAGAATTTGCTCTTGTCTCTAGAAGTGAGTCCTTGCTAACAGACCAGTGCAGATGTTCTGTTCGCCGTCACGATGTGAACCCCACATCTATACCCAGGGGCACCTTGAAAATGGCAGCGTTGGCTTGGGTTTGGTGCAAACCAGAAAGGATCTTTCCATAGCGCTGGATCCAGAACTTGTCCCGGTTACCCCAGCGGGCGATGAGACACGGCTCGGCTGAGCGACGGCTAAATCCAGAGATTTTTTTGGTCTCAGTTATCAAACAGCCCCCATGAAGTTCAACTAATTTCACTGAGAGTAACTGCAATAAAAGATGAAACAAGTGTTTTACGTCCTAAGTCCGTACATTAAAATACAATAACTGCATTTATGGTTTAACCAGCAGTTTAGTGACTTTGTGAATGATGGAATGTGAATTTTGTTAATCCAACAGACCGATCTTTTCATATGTTTTTCATTACAGGAAACAAAGATAGTTTGTCCATATCCATCTTTTCCTCTGAATAGCATGTATTACCCCTACTAACCAACAGACCTGAGAAAAAGATATCTAAATCTTTAAGGAGATGACAAAAAATGATGAGACAGTATGGAAGAAGAGCAGTGAAAAATGGAGACCATTCAGTAAAAAGTTCATTTAAAAATCTATTCAAGTTGCTGCACTTCTACCAAAAAAGTGGGTTTTTTTAATACTTTAATGCCTACATAAGACGTATTCCTGTACTTGACTGAAAGGCAAGTAAATACCCACCCATTGTAAAGCCTTTCTTGAGAAATAACTCCAAATGACAGGAGCCGGTGCATCGCTCTTTTCCTAGCGGTGTTAAAGTTATTTGTTAAAAACAAATTGAACTTGATGGTTTCACAGTCTCAGCCAGGAAATACAAGCACATGGAAAAACAAATCCAAAGCTTTCCAAAGATAAGTTTTTTCGGGGGACTCAGCCTCACCTCTTTGTCGTGGGTGTATTGTTACCACGTCTTTGGGTGTTTGCTTTTGTGGAGGGTTAAAAGGTGTGTGCTTGGAAGCGCACCTGACGGGTGGCTGAGCTGGGATGCTCAGCTGAGTGCAGGATCTTGGTAGGATTCCACAAGGCTTAGACATTTCTATGGATGATAAGTACCTCCGCGATGACCTTAGGCAGACGTGTAAATGCTCGTGCTTCGGGGCATAAGCCAAGTCCTAGCCCAAAGGGAGAGACAGAGAAGCTTCCCCTGGATCTTGTCTGAGGACATTCCCATCCCGGGGCTTTTTATGCCTTTCCCAGAAAGATACGGGTCCGGATGATTTTAGCGGGGCGAGTTTCATGGCCTCAGTGTAGTCACTTGGAAATTCCCATTACACCTGCAATAGCAGCAGTGCCTTCCCTGCAAGGGAGATGACCGCCCAGGCTCCAGGGTTGATGAGAGACACCAGCCAAGCATCCAGCACGGTCCCGTGCTCAGGTTTGCTGTCGGTACATGACTCCGCAACGGGGAAAACCTCCAGAGCTGCTCGTTGGGGTTTTTTTTTTTCCCTAGAGATGCAATCCACGCAACACCTTTCCTTAAGCAACCCGATGTAGCTCGTGTAACGCCATCTCGTTGCAGGTACTCCCATCCCCTTTGCTTCCTGGGAGGCAGCGCTGAGAGCTCAGGGTAGGGTTCAGGTAGCCGCGGGCCCCGCGAAGCCATCAGCGAGGCACCGTGGCCAACCACCACGCATTTTACGATTTCATTTAATTTTTTTCGGGGGACTCTGCTGCATCCCGGGCCGCGAGGGGGGAATAACCTCTTTGATTTTATTTTTTTTTCAGTTCTCTCAGGCCAGACACACCACAGCCCTTTGAAACGCTCTGTGTCCCTTACCCCACCCATGAATGTGCCAAACCAACCTCTAGGACATGGATGGATGTCTCATGAGGACTTACGAGCTAGAGGACCCCAGTGCATCCCTTCCGATCATGCCCCCCTGTCTCCACAAAGCAGTGTAGCCTCTTCGGGAAGTGGTGGGAGTGAACATTTAGAAGATCAGCCTTCCGCTCGTAACACATTCCAGGAGGAAGGGAGTGGGATGAAAGGTGAGTGAAAAACCAGACGCCTCCCCCGCCCCAGCACCCAGAGGCAGGAGGGGAAAAGCCGTTTTCCCGGCAGCGCGGGGCTCGGTTGGTGGTTTTGGGCGAGAGTCCTCCTAACCAAACGGGGCCTTTCAGCGTTTTCTTCCCGGCGTAGGAATTTTGGTTTAGGGGAGGAAGTTAGGTTTTCTTCTAAGCAGCGGCTGGTCCTGATCTGACGTCTTACAGTTGGGTGACGGTGGGCTGGTTTTGCCCCAGAATCCTGCAAGCTGCCAGCTTTCCAAAAAGCTGGATTTTTTCCATAGCCTGTGGCTTTTGGCTGCAAGTGGTGCTCTTTTCTCTGTTGGCTTTTTTATTACGGTGTAAAATAGCTTAGCATAGGTTTAGCAAGCCACCTGTGATTTACCATTGCGGTGTTTGAGACCCACCAAGTATTTGGGGAAGTTTTGGCTTAGGATACTTGTTTGCAGTGAATTTATCCTGTGTATAAATATAGAGACTCTCAGCAATAAATATACGTGATCCTGTTGGTAAACAAGGCAGAAACGAAACCCTATTGCTGCAGTCAAAGATGGAGAGCAAACTTCAGGCTGTAGAGGAATAAATAGATAAAAACCTGGCAAACACACAGGCTGTATATTCCAGTGAACAGACAAAATGACTGAAAATGAACCCGCAGCTATCAGAGACTGATTTAAACAACTGCAATTTTCATTGATGCAAGGCAACTCTATTGTGTAAAGACCGATGATGCAACAGAGTGAGGAAACAATCGTATTTTTTAAATAGTCACAAGGTCTGATTTCATTCTAATTACGGACAAATCTAGATACGTATAAATCTCTGCGACGTGGAATTGTGTTTGACTTGGCACTGTATGACTTTGACGTGCATGAAATAAATGCATGAAAAACCCCCTCACAGTTCCCCCGGGAGACAGATGCTCGGGGCTCAGCCCTCTCCCTGGCTGGACTTTGCACCGTAGCGTTGCCCTGGGCTGGGGGCGATGGGCTGTAGATGCGACGGGAGAGTTTTCTGAGCGTGACGGCCTCGCAGAGCCCGGCTTTGCTTCTCAGTGGCTCCGCTTGCTAACGAACACCTAATCAGGTAGCGCAGCCAGGGAGCGTTTTGTCTCCAGCGGTGCCGCAGGCTCTGCGTACCTGTGGCTCTCGCTGCCTGCATGACCTTGTGGAGGACCGGCAGGCAGGCAGGCAGGCTCGGAGGGATCACCGTGAGCGTGTTGAAGACTGAGCTGCCATCAGCATGAAGGCTTTCTGTGCCTGGGGCCGGATCCTGCAGTCTGTCAGATCAAGGAGACCCTTTTCGGGAGCTGGTGGCGCGGAGGGGTCTGTTTAACATTACATTTATCCAGGTTTCTGCAGATGGGACTGGGGAGGAGACCGCGGGGAGCTTGGCTTGCTGTGATCCACAGCTGCAGCTCCGGGACCTGCGTGGATAGAAACTTCCCAGTGCAACGCAATCGATCTGTGTGGCCAAATCTGCAAAACCCAAAGGCGCTATTGCCCAGGCTGTCCACGAGCAATAATCAATTAAATAAACGCCCCATATTAAGGCAGCCCGTTGCTGCTGCATGCAGCCCCCCCGGGGGAGATGGCTGCCCTTCCTCGGGCCATCCCTTCCCGAGCATCCTCCTTCTCTGGAGGAAGGTTTGCAAACATCTAAACCTGATTCTCCCCATTGCTGAGTCAGCCAGTTTGCTTTTGTCCCGCTGTCCGGGGACATGCGAAACAGATGTCTACAGCCTCTGGTGTCTACGACTGTCGTGTCCTCCCCCCTCCGCTGTATTTTCTTCAGACTGAACCAATCCAGTTTCTTCCCAGATGGTGTTTTCTGAACTTGGGGTTGTTCTTGCTTCTCTCCGCCGGGTTTTTTCCAGAGAGTCTGTATTTTATTGAAGGTGTGTTGCCCAAAACTGGACTCGTGAGCAGAGCAGGGACTTGCTTGCCGTGCAGACAGCATTCCTGTGGCTATATAGCTCATCGTCCTCAAATAACACACCACCGCGGGCTGCGTATGACCCATTGTATCCCCACAGCTTTTCTGCAAAAAAAAAAAAAAAGGACTGCCCGTTCCCTGCCCTTGGTTCGTGCTGTTTCTTGTTCCTCCAGAAACGCACAACTTCGTGCATTTTTATTGGGTTGCATCTTATTTCATCCAGACCGTTTGCTCGGTTTGCCGAGTCCCTTCTCTGAATTGCAGCCACGTCTCCCCGAGCGCCTGCAGGCTCTTGGTGGCTTGGTGTCACCCGCACCTCCGGTCAGCTTGCTCCTTCTTTAACACACTCCACGGCATCCAGGAGGGTAGTGGGGAAACCAGACCCACGACAGACCCCCGTCTGATGTGGCTTAGCAGCAGTTCATCTCCCCTAATGTCACCCGTTTCTCTCCTTTCCAGCTCTCTTCGTGCTGAAGGTAAAGTGCCCTTTGGCTTTTTCCCGGCCCCTGGTTTCTCCAGGGGGAGACACGGACACTTTGTTCCCTGCAGAGCCCATCCGCCTGTCCGTCCATCCCTTCCCGGGGCACGGCTTGGGGTGCACCGGGAAGAGGGTTTGAGTAGAGCTGGGGGTTTCCGTGGCTTAGCATGGTGTGCCATAAGGGCACTTCTGAGGACATCCTGTGTGTACATTGGCCTGTATATATATATATACGGCAGGGTGAATTGTTTTCCTTCTAAATTTCTTCTAAATTTCCATGCCAGCACCCGGATAGACGTGTGCCGGCTGAACTCCGGCGTTTAATGTATATAGGGGACAATGTCTGTGCGCAGCATGAAAGTCCTCGGTTTGCTGCTCACATCAGACACGGTGTTTCTGACAGCCGTGCCATGACTTAGCAATTAGCCCCTGGAAATTGGTGATTAAAGAGTAGCTCCGTGGGCGGGCGGCTCGGTGCTCCGTGGGGATCGTTAGGAAGTTTGACTTTCCAAGGACCATGAAATCGCCTTAGGTGACCTTGCACCTCCTGGTTGCCTCTTCCCCATGAGAAAGGGGAAAGCCCCACCACCGTCCCTCTGTGCTGGGGTGGCTCCTTCTCCCCAGCCCACTCCCGGGATTGTCGTCCCCGCTGCCAGAGGGGCTCCAGGACCATCGTAACTCCCCAAAATTAGGAGTTGGGCCAGGGAGGTTGATGCAAAGGGAGAGAAGAGCTGCTCCTGCGCTCTGACCCCTCTGCAAAGGTTGGAGATGGGTTTTCTACAAGATTTAACATCTATGTAAAGTTGCACCTCTTGTCTGAAAATATCCCCATGGGCTTTGCCATTGGCACGGACGTGCGCCAAAGGCAGATGTCCCCAGGGGACGTGGGATCAGGCAGACTTTTAACGTGTCGTTGCTAAAACGAGGTGGTTTTGTGTTAAAATGAAGTTGAGATTCGAGGTTGCCAGTCCCTGCGCTCCCCACCTGTGCTGGAGAGAGAGGGCTTTCTGCTAACAGCTTTTAATGGGCTTTCTGCTAATAGCTTTTAATTTTTTTAAGCAGATCGATTGATTTAAGAGGCCTCGGGTAGCGGGTTTTAGGACTGTTGAGGTCTGTTGCATGTTGGGACTTTTAGAAAACAGCAAAGTTTAGCCCGTCTGTGCTCGGTAACTGCTTTGCCCCCGTGTTTGGTGTGGGGTTGATCTCTTTCTGTGCAGCATTTGAGGAACTTCACTGAAAGCGAATCCTGATGTGTGTCAGAGCATGTGAGCAAAAAGCGGTATTTTGGAGCCATTTGTGTCACCTCTGCTTGGATGCGAGCGGGGTTTGGGGTCAGCCCGGGCAGTGGGCAGCAGGAGACTTCTGGCAGATATAAGAACTGCCTTAGGGGACCCACCCTCTTGCCCCGTCCCCTCCAGCAACGAGGTGTTTTCGGGAAGAGGTGTGCACTGATCCTTGACTTGCATCTGGCACTCAGCAGCATGGGGCTTTCTGGACAGAGACCACCCACACCACGGATGTCCCGGCAGTGGGACTGTCCTCCTCGCATTGTCTCATCCCTTTCCGAAGCAAGTCTGGCCTCACACTTTGCAGTCGGAGCAGCCTAGAAAACCTTTGAGGTTGGCGACGTTAATGAAGGTTATTGGAGGTGTCCATGAAGGTTGTCCTCATGCTGGTGGTGAGCAGAGCACCAGCGCCCACAGCAGCCCCAGCCCGGCAGCAGCAGCACGTAGCGGGTAGAAATCCTTCCCGAAAACGGTGCAAGCCCCCATTCCTTCTCCCGCCTCGGTGGGCACGTGGGGCAGAGGAACACCGTCGGCGCAGCCTCGCTGCCAGCCGTCACTCCTTCCCCTCGGGCTCTCCTGCACCATCAGCCCTTGCCTGCCATGGGATGTGGGGTCCACCACCCGCTCGACACATGCCCCTTGCATCGACTTGGGAACAATCAAAGAAAGGGAAGGTGTCGCTGCTAACTGGTATTTAGCCCCAAAAGAGACATTTCCTGAGCCCCCACCTGCTCTCTCCATTCAAGGTGTGGGGTTTGGTGCTGTTTGGGACTGAAACACTGGTTTTTCATTGTTGCTGCATCCCGGCGTGGGTTGAGACGGGGCTCCCGGGTGTCTCGCTGGTGGGGAAGGGGACAAGGACTAATGGACAAGGGTGTTGCTGGGAGCGGAGCGCGTGAGCTCAGTAGGCTAAGACAGAGCTATTGTCGGTTGTAGGTGCTAAATAAAGCGGGTCCCAATTTGGCACAACGTCTGAAGCCTTTAGGATACAAAGCAAAAGCATCATCATGGGCACGGTGTTGTGCTGCAGCCCAGATATCTGCAGGGCCCCCCCCTCCCTTATGGGGTGTCACCACGGGCCCCCCAAACCTGCAAAACCCCGAGTAGCTGCTGAGCAGGCTGGAGCAGGGGAGGCTCGTATCCCATTGCCTCATCCATGGAGGGCATCCCATCATGAGGTCTGGTGGGGTTTTGCATGTTGCAGAGGAAGGATTCCCCTCCCAGGTCCCTCCCTGTGAAACCACATTGATGTCAGGAGGATAAAAGTATTTTGGGGTACCCATCCAGCCGGGCACAGAGGTGCTACACTGCAGATAACGACTGGGAAGGAAGAAGTCGTTTCAGTTGGTGCATTTTGAGGTCCCAAGTCACCCTTCTGAAACGGGTTGTGGGACCATTTTCGATGGCATGTCATTTTTCCACGCTCAAAAAAAATTCTCTTTATTTCTCTTTAAGCAGCCATTTAAATTTTCGGCACATACCATCTTCCTTCACGCCATAAATCAGTGTCTGCCATCTGCAAAACAGCCATTTGCTCGTCCTAAGCTCGACCACGCTGTTAGCTTCAGTGGTTCCCATGTTCTCAGGAAAAGGGCAGAGAGGAGCTTGCCCGTGCAGTGGCGCAGCGCCGGCTCCCTGTGGGCTAATTCCCGTCGGCTCAGCCGCAGAAACCCGACTTCTGAGGACGTGTCCTCATCTGGGGGCCGGTTCCTCCTACCATCCGTATCCATAGCACTATGCCCTCCAAAAGGTCCGTGAAGTTCAGTAAGGTGTCTGAAGCACCGGTGGGATGGCGGATGGCACCTAATCAGCTCCTTGTGTTGCTGTTGATGCTATCGCGCGTGGTTAAGCAGTGCCATGAGCTCAACGGGAGCTCTCATCTCCTTACCTTTGTGCTGCAGATGTCCCAGCCTGGCTGAAGAGCCTCCGGCTGCACAAGTACGCCGCCCTCTTCTCGCAGATGACGTACGAGGAGATGATGGCCCTCACCGAATGCCAGCTCGAGGCACAAGTATGTCCCACGTCGGTCTTAAAGGGGTCAGCTGCGGTCCCGACTCTTGTGCGGTCGGTAGATGAGATGCCTCCAACACCTCTTTTTGTGTCTTCCCGTGGAAGGCGTTTTGCCCGCAGGTGGTTGGAGAGCAAGCAGAGAAAGGAAAATTGGGTCTTGGGGAGTGAAAAAACCCGCATTGTACCTGAAAAAGGCCTTGTCCCAGATTTCTTACTGGAGTTTCCATCATGGAAGTCCCATCACTGGGAGCTTGGGCTTTTGTCCGGTTGGGATTAAGTTTAGGAGTTTCAGGGGCAGATTCTGCAGTACCCAACTCGTTTAAAGTCAGTGGGGCTTTGGTGGTCAGTTGCCTTGTTAACCTTTGAAAGTGACCCCGCTTTCAGATTTACCTCTGCATTATCCTCGGGATGAAGAGGGCCAGTCAGCACCTTTGCTTTCACTGTTTGAGATGTACCGGGGAGGGACAGACTAGCTGGAAAACTCTATCTTCAGCAAGTCTCTAAGTGATTTTCTATGTATGTCCCGTGCTAATCCCTGCACTCAGACATTTGATTAATTCATAGCAGCCCTTTTCGTTCAGGGGAGGAAGGATTTGGGCTGACCCAGCTGTCCTGTGGAAATGTTAACGCCAGGTTTTGTGCTGTTTTTTGCAGAACGTTACCAAAGGCGCAAGACACAAAATAGTCATCAGTATCCAAAAGCTAAAAGAAAGACAAAACCTGCTCAAATCTTTAGAAAGGGTGAGTAACCGCAACCACTTTGTATTTCCTCTTTTTCAAGAAGCCAGGAATTAATTCTGGGGTGAAGAACTCTTCAGTCACGTGTGTTGCTGGGTTCTTTTGCAGAGAAATCTGTTGCCGGCCTCGCCGCATCTGAATGTGGTCTCAAACACTTCTGTACCAGATGCAGGTTTTATTTGGGGCTGTATTTTGCGGAGTGGGTCCTAATCCATCTCTGGCACTCGCGCAGCTGGGATGGATGTACTGCAGCACCGGTACAAGCCCTGCCCAGCTCCAGGGTGCTCGGAAACACCTGAGCTCCAGGTGTTGGAGGGCACCATCCCA